CATTCCTTCAGACTTCTCGGTGAAGACCGAAACAAAGAAGTCATTAAGCATCTCTGCCGTTTCCAAGTTTCCTGTTACTGTTTCTCCCTCCTCACTGAGCAGTGGGCCTACCCTGTCCTTGGTCTTCCTCTTGTTTCTAATGTATTGATAAAAAGTCGTCTTGTTGCCCTTTATTCCTGTAGCTAGTTTGAGCTCATTTTTTGCCTTTGCCTTTCTAATCTTGCCCCTGCATTCCTTTGGTGTTTGCCAGGGCCGGCTCCAGGCACCAGCTTCTCAAGCAGGTGCTTGGGACGGCCGCTCTGGAGAGGGGCGGCAGGTCCGGGTATTCGGCGGCAATTCGGCGGACGGTCCCTCACTCCGCCTGGGAGTGAAGGACCTCCCGCCAAATTGCCGCAGCAGATCGCGATCGCAGCTTTTTGGGGGGGGGGTTGGCTGCTTGGGGCGGCCAAAACCCTGGAGCCGTCCCTGGTGTTTGCCTATATTCATCCTTTGTAATCTGTCCTAGTTTCCATTTTTTATATGACTCCTTTTTATTTTTTAGATCATGCAAGATCTCGTGATTAAGCCAAGCTGGTCTTCTGCCACATTTTCTATCTTTCCTACCCAGCAGAATAGCGTGCTTTTGGGCCCTTAATAGTGTCCCTTTGAAAAACTGCCAACTCTCCTCAGTTGTTTTTCTCCTCAGTCTTGATTCCCATGGGACCTTACCTATCAGCTCTCTGAGCTTACCAAAATCTGCCTTCCTGAAATCCATTGTCTCTATTTTGCTGTACTCCCTTCTACCCTTCCTTAGAATTGCGAACTCTATGATTTCATGATCACTTTCACTCAAGCTGCCTTCTACTTTCAAATTCTCAACGAGTTCCTCTCTATTTGTTAAAATCAAATCTAGAACAGCTTCCCCCCTCGTAGCTTTTTCAACCTTCTGAAATAAAAAGTTGTCTGCAATGCAGTCCAAGAACTTATTGGATAGTCTGTGCCGCGCGGTTATTTTCCCAACATATATCTGGATAGTTGAAGTCCCCCATCACCACCAGATCTTGGGCTTTGGATGATTTTGTTAGTTGTTTAAAAAAAGCCTCATCCACCTCTTCCACCAGGTTAGGTGGCCTGTAGTAGACTCCTAGCAAGACATCACCCTTGTTTTTTACCCCTTTTAGCCTAACCCAGAGAGACTCAACACTTCCGTCTCCTGTGTCCAGCTCCACCTCAGTCCAAGTGTGTACATTTTTAATATATAATGCAACACCTCCTCCCTTTTTCCCCTGTCTATCCTTCCTGAGCAAGCTGTACCCATCCACACCAACATTCCAATCGTGTATTATCCCACCAAGTTTCGGAGATGCCAACAATGTCATAGTTGTATTTATTTATTAGCACTTCCAGTTCTTCCTGCGTATTACCCATACTTCTCACATTTGTATCTAAGCATCTAAGATACTGATTTGATCTTGCCTCCCAGTTTTGCCCTGACCCTCCTTTCTCTCTGCCATTATAGCCCATGCTCCCTCCTATTTCCGACCCATCTCCCAGGTCTTGATGTTCCCCACTTACCTGTGGACTTTGCACACCGCCCCATTCTTTCCAGTGTGTCTCAAAGCACTAGCAATATACAATGCTGGTGCTTACCCAGGGGACCCCATGGGGGGGGAGCAATTTTATTGTGACACTAGAAGCCACTTAACAATCCCAACCCAACAGAACAGTGTCTCAGACTAATATTGGCCCCACTATACTGAAACCCATACTTCTCCTGGGGGAATTCTGCACCACTGCACAAAGCAGAATTATGCAGAAATTAACAGGCGCGCAGAATTTCCTTTCCCCCCACAGAAATGGGCTGCAGTGCTGCTAGCCACCACTAGGGGACCTGGCAGAGCCCAGCTCGCACAAAGAAAACACTGCTAGGGAGAGGGGGAGAGAGCTAGAGGGTTCCTGGCAGCTGCAGTTCCCAGCATGCCCTGAGGGAGGGAGAGGGCAGCATGCAGGAAACTTCCTGCAACCCTGGGACCGTGCATTAGGATGTTTCTCCCTCTGGACTCAGGTGGGGGGAGGGACGGAGGGTTGTCTGGGCTGGGCGGGCCCCATGGCTGGGCTCTGGGGGGGTGCGGGTGTACTGGCGGGGGGGGGGACGACACGTCTGGGCTTTTGGGTGTCCTTGCCCCTCCCCCCCCTCCCACACACACTCTCCCCCAGCTGGGCTCTGGTGAGAGGAAGGGGGAAGAGAAACAGGATCTGCGTTGTCATAGAGTTTTCCTTAACTCTCTACTCCTGGGAGAATTTTTGTGTCTGTATTGTTACAGACCTACTTGATGACTGGTATTTTGAAATAAATTACCAAAATAACTGAAACTGTTATGATTATGTAGTGTTATTTTGACAAATAGAATTAGCAGAATTTTAAAATACTGTGCATAGAATTTTTAAGTTTTTTGGTGCAGAATACCCCAAGGAGTGCCATATTTATTTTCTCTTCTCCCCTTTAATCTTGTAATCTGTGATATTCCCTAGTGCGTTAGCATAATGTGGTGGTCATTGATTTGCTCACGTTCAGAAAAGTGGACTGTTACAACTGGTAAATTTTGAAAGATTGGGAGAAATTTGTTTACAGGACTTGGTCAGGTGTAGATACTGTGAAGATGTTTGCAAAGGCCGTGTTGTTTTGGGAAGTGTTAGGCAAGAATTTTTTTCATAGCTTTTATCAAATAAATTTAGTGATGCTCTTTAAGCTTTTCACTAAGCAGTGAATAGAGATGTTGCTAAAGCAAGATATAAAACTACTGCTTTGTGTGGCCTGGGTAGATCACCAGATGTTGTGGGTAAATACCTTGTTAATTCCTTGGGATCTTTTTAGTGAAAGTAATGCTTAAAGATTTGCTTTTGTAAAATAGTTTCCCCATGAAAGTCTATTAAGTATTGAATCATCTAAATTGTTTTTAGATTGTGCTGTGTTATTGTGATTCCTTTTTTTGTTCTTTTTTATCTTCCCAGTTGTTTCAGTACTAGAAAGGTCACCCTGTCTGTCATATTTATCTCACTAGGGCTGTTGAGAATATGAATGTATTTGGAACTAACAAACAAGGATATGAAAAGGGTAGAAATAGCAAGAGCAGAAATCCAAATGAATAAACCACTGTCATCAACATGGCCACACTGCTAGATGAAATTTCACACACGTTAACTGACAGACCTGTGTATTTGTATATTAAAAAAGGTTATGTTGGTGTTGCCCCCTAGTTAGCCTTCCATATATTGTAAGGTGCAAAGAGAATTAAGAACAGAGGTATTAAAGATCTGGAGCAAGTATGTCTCTTGGATTTTTGCTTCAAAATGGATTCATATCATGCTCATCCTGCGACACTTCGTTTCCTCATCCTTTAAGATATTAAACTAATAGCAGAGCAGGTATCAGGAATATGTCTGCAGGGAATGTTTGCTCGGTCCATCAAATGAAAGTATTTTGTTGCACTTGAGCTGCCGACGTATCATTTCAGATTTTTTTGTTTAAATTTTAGAATTTTTTATAGTGTTTTTATTGTATATAATAGTTTATTTAATGTTAAAGCCAGGTGGCCGAATACAGCTTCATGTCTTCCAGAAACAAACGGTATTTATTTAGGATTATTTTAACATTTAAAGTGGCATATATTTTAATATTAATTAATGAAGTTACTAAACCATTGCAGACCTTATAGTTAAAAGTGGTGTGACCAGTTATTTCCATGGTTTTGACAGTGTCAGGTAGAGATAATTAAAAATATGGTCCCTATCTACTGATGGTAGGGGTGTGTGTGTGTGTGTGTGTGATGAATACTTAAGTACCACAGCTAGGTTCTGAAACAGTTGGTCATAAATAAGCATGAATAGGTGTGTTACAACACTGGAAATCAATTAAGGAAATTTGTCATGCTTAGTACCAGTTGTGACTTGAAGCTATATTGTACTTTCTCTAATTTCTGAACTAGGCTAAACCCAAATGATAAGAATTCTCATCCTCAGCAGCAAGTTTGTTTGGAGTCCTGAAAATGGTGTGGACTTTTCACAGAAAAGTAATCTATGGAAGTACTAATCAACAGCAAGCCAACCTATTCATTAGTAGTACCAAGGCCAGCACTGTTTTATCTTGACCTGAGCTGGCATGGTTGGAAGAGATGGCCAAAGAAAACTAATGTACTAGAAGAGAGCTCATTACTATAAAACTTTCATAGTGGGTCTCTGTCTGATTTTACCAGGTTGTTTAAAGTGAGCCATGGCTGCATTCATTTTCTAGCCATGAAATAACTCCACACTTGAACTGGAATATCTCCCATGTGAGCAGGTCACTGAACTTGGAAGCCTGAAAACAAGAAGAGAAAACCCTGTGTCCAAGCTTAGGGTATCTGTTCCCCATCTGTTGAAGGGATTTCTACCATAATGCAGTTGTTAAATCTTCTTCATGATTTCTGGCCATCTTTTCAGTCTGAGGGCTGCTATGCCTATATGCCGTGCTTTATTGTACCTGACATCTGAGGAGCTCATCTAATCCAGATTGTTGTGGACACTAAACATGCCCTGATGTTCAAATTTGGCAATTGTGAACTCTCTGTATTAAAGGGCAACCAAGTTTTCATACTGCCATTTACCACCACTGCCACTAGTAAAAGGATGAGGCTCTGTGAAGATTTCTTCATGCATCGATCCTCAGCATCATGATGTCCCACATCATGCACAATGAAATAGTCATGCAACTTTCTGCCATTGAAAATCCTTAGTAGTGTGTGTTGTTTTGTTGATATGAGATGGGGATGGGCAAGAGAAAAGTGTATGGATTAGTTTCAGTAAACTTTTTGACCTAAGTGGATTTAACTGTTTCAGGATTATTTTATTAATACCAAAGATGTTTATCCTCCAAGTACCAATTGTGAATCCTTCGTTCACCTTGGTACATAGTTACTCCTATGAGTGGTAAATGATAAGCATTTGTGTTTATATGTCAGTCATTAATATTTTCTGTTTTACAGTTTCCCAAGCAAGACCACCTCCAAACCAGAAAAAAGGTGAGTTACTTATAGCTATACGAGTCCCTTTTATAAAGGCAAACCTTCATGTAAATATACATTTTTATCCTGAATTGAGAATGCTAAAGATGGAGAGGATTTTGATATTCTTTCCCAATTTTGAGCTGTAAAGCAAGTGATACAATTTTTTAATTGCATTTTGTTAAAATTATATTTGCCTTTTTGTATTCTCTCTCTACAGGATCTCGAACCCCCATAATCATTATTCCAGCAGCTACAACTTCTTTAATAACTATGCTTAATGCAAAAGACCTTCTGCAGGATTTAAAGTAAGTAGTTGACTAAATAATGCTTTATAAAAGATTGTCTTCAGATATAAAGATATAGCAGAGTAGTAGTAATTCAAGAAGCGGTATCTATTGTCTCCTGACAACTGAATTTTAATTTTACAGTCCAAATTTTAAGAAAGCATAGGCATCCTTGAATGGTAGGTGAAAGTATTAGTATGAATGTTATTTGCAAGAATGGTCACCTCTGAACCAACTAAATACATTGACTGGAAGGAAGTGTTAATGTCTAAAGGCAGACTTTTTTATTCTTCTGTTTTTAAATGGTAAATTTTACCCATTCTCTAAATCATTGCTAAATAGGGAATGAGTTGCACTTCACACAAAGAATGGGTGAGTTCATGTGTTACTAAAAAATATAAATAAAGCAAGAACTTGAAATATTTATAGCAAAGTAAACTAGCACATAGAAATACTGTTGAACTAATAAATTCTCCCATCATTTCGATACCCTGCAAACTATGATGCTATAGCATTATGATAGCTGTTTCTTAAAGAAGCACATCCAACTGACAGTCTAAAATCAAACTCAGCATGGCTGAACCAACTGCTATTCCAGTGTAACTAACTACTCTTCTGGTTAAAAATGTAATAGATCAGTAGATCATAATGTGCAAAGTTGCGTATTTCTCACCAGCCATTACTTCTGTGGGTCTAAAAGAAGTAGTAATTATTGCTTAGAAATGTATTCCCATAAATAAATTGGCTTGATGGGAACTACTCAAAAAATGAAAAGGACATTTCTTCCCCCACTATTAACACTTCATTAATGGAGCCCTTTATAAATTATATGCTGTGTTCTTTAAAAGTGATTTTTTTTCCTTGCTGAGACATGGCAAGTTGTTGCCCTAGGATCTTTTGAGGCTACATTGTGCACTTTGAGGTCTGAATCCCAAATATACCCAGTCACGGCTCACCGAAGAAAACCAGACATGAATTATTACTTTATGCTGAACTGAAGTAGTTGGCATTGAAGGTGCACTAGGAGTATGTGCTCATTGCAGTGAACCTATAGAAACTCTTGTGAAGTATTGCAGCAACCAGCAGAAATATTCTGTGGATTTTCTGAGCCTAGGACCTGGACTAAAAACATACTGTTTTGGTAAAACTATTTTGGTTAGAGAGGGTGCGATTTTTAATGGAAAAAAGTTATACCAGTACAATCCTTAGTCTGGATCCAGTTATACTGGTATAAAGGTGTCTTATATAGTGTATGGAAATAGCTAATCAGTATGAAGCACTTTTGTGCCGATATAACTGTGTACGCACTGGGGCAGTTGTACCACTTTAACTGTACCAGTATACACCGCTACCTCGATATAACGCGACCCGATATAATACAAATTCAGCTATAACACGGTAAAGCAGTGCTCCGAGGGGGGGCTGCGCACTCCAGTGGATCAAAGCAAGTTCAGTATAACGCGGTTTCACCTATAATGCGGTAAGATTTTTTGGCTCCCGAGGACAGTGTTATATCGAGGTAGAGGTGTAGTTAAAATGATTCAACTTTTCTGAGTAAACAAGCCCTCAGAGCAATCTGACCACTGTAGCACAATCTGCTTCCTACAGAAGTAAAGGAAGTGAAGGTTAATGGAAGAGGTTAAACACAGGTTTCGTGTGTGTAAAAGAGACCAAAAAAAAAATCAGATTGAGGGAGAAGGCAAATTCTATAAACTGGAAGTGGAAGAAAAGGATTCAAGAAAACAGTTTAATTTGCTGTGACTGTCAAGGCCCCTCTTCAGCTAATTTGATACTACTTTGAGCCATCAAAGGCTGTAAAATGAAACTTTGGCTGCACATTAATATTTTGTAAACTTCTGTAAATCATACTTTCCTATTTTTTCTAACTTTAAACCGTAACCAAACTAATTTGCCTTAATGACTGTAAATGTAGTTGGAGTGCTACACATGAAAATTGGTATGTGCAACTCACGTTTAAATTAGAAAAGCACAAAGTATACTGTACACGTGGTGATCATGTTTCAAAGTGTGCATATGTGTACATGTGTGTATGTATAATATACATATATACACACACAAAAGTATGCACATGCTATGTCGGCTCTGAAACACAGAAGAGAATAATTTAGTTCACACTGAGTTTAAATGGCCACAAGGTTTACAGCACTGGAATAGGAGCAAGTTAAGGTTTGCAGTATAATCTCTGCAGGTTTTATACTATTCTAGAATGTAAAGCTGTACACAGCATGTATCTTATGACAATATCTAATTCATTTACATACTGATTTTTAGTTTAGAAGAATGTGGAGAAGAAAATGGTTTATAAGAGTATGGAGAGGAAGTTGCATACACATAACTTCTGTGCGTTTTTTATTCTTTCCATTAGAGATCCCTCTTCTGCTTGCACCATCCTCTCCACTTCTTTAGGCAGCATAGTTCCATTGATTCAGGGTGATAATACAGGCTCAGTGACAAGGTTCCACAAATTACCCTACTTTTGCAATTCCTGCCTGTGTAATATTTCTGATAAATCTCTATTTATAAAAACAACATTGGTTTTAAGTGTATTGGTCTGTATTTAATACCTTTAACTATAAACTAACCTTTATATCTGGGAATGTAATCTTCATTTACGTAACTCTTTCTTTTGTCTTTGTAGTTTTTATTGCATGTTAATGTTCTCTTCTAAATCCAGTGCCATGTCAGAATTGCTGTCATCACCCATAGTAACCATGTCTGTCACAATTGAATTTATAGATGACCAGTTGTGGCAAAAGTGGGATATATTTGCTTCCTTTGAATATATTTTAATACAGATGACCTAACCAAAACACTATTTTCACACAGCACAATAATATACTTTAATTTACTGGTCAACGACTACTTAAAATGCTGCTCTAGTTAATAGTTTAATCAGCCTCTCCTCCCACATAATGCTTGTGAATCATAGTAACTCTTTTAAAGGTGATTATGTTGAGTATTAATGTACATTAGTGTTGGTTGGGGAGTTTAGTTCCATAGTTGTCGCTTGTTTTCTGGGGAGCACGTACATGTCACTAGCCAGGGTTGTCCTTTTAACTTCCATCTTTTAGCTGATAGCATGTATAGTTACACTAAGTTATTGAAAAATGTTTGGTTGTTTTGCATAAACAAATAAAAAATGGGAAGGGTGACATAATTACAAAATTAATTAAAAACAAGAAGGATGTTACTGGTGCAAATACTTCATTAATTTTCCAGAAATCTATTTGGACACACTTATCAGAGCTGTAACTGTTCATGAGGGACACCTGGAGACACATGTTGTATCCACCTGTTAGCAATGCTTAATTTTTATTCTTTGCGGAGAGCATGTCTCTTTAGAAGAAATAATAAAGGACACCTGCTTATTTATAAGTGCCAAGTATTTAATTTTTTTTCAATCTGCTACCCATAAATATTACACAGCAGCTTTCTAACCCATTTTTTTCTGTGTTGAGAACTGCTAACGCTAAAGAATGTCTGGAAGCTACATTTTGCTGCAGGATATATAGAGCAGAAGTGAAACTAAAATTGTATTAGCAAGATGCAAATTGAAGACCATAGTGTAATCATTATGTTAATTTTGATGCTAACACTGATATAATTCACTAAAAAATGTTTAGTTGCCATCATGTAATTTTAGCATTGCACTTTGAAGTACAAAATTTGAACTAAAGTGTAATAGCTGGCAAAGAAGGGAAAGAGAGCGCATATGTTAGAATGGGGGATTGACTATGCACAGCATCAACTGTAGAAGGAGTAATATATGGAGGTATAAAAGGTATATATGCCCAACATGTAGACTCCTGAAGAATCATAACTGGCCTCTGGTCTATCAGTCTCTGGGATTCTGTGATGAGAAACACCATAATCCACAAATAGCAGTAGTCTCCACTCCATTTCAATCTGTGTTAAAGTCCTAGTGTAAACAAGGCCTTTGAAGTGATTTCTAGTTACAGTACAAGTGCACTAATTCACACTAATGACCAAGAGAGACAGTGTGATTTATCAGACTTTACAGATTTGCTGTTACGTGAACAAGTTGGATGTAAGTCTCAAGGATAATGCATTATAAAATGTCCTTTGCTCACTTATTTTGTCAAGTTTAATTTAGTTTTATTTGACACTTTGTAAACTAGTAAATGTGTTGTGATGTATTTTATAAACGTACAATCATGGTAATATGAGACCTAAAAGTGCCGGGTTTTTGTAAGAACGTGAGTGGCATTGCCAATTGAAGTAAGAATTAATGAAGCCGTATTAATTTCAGTCTCTTATTCATAAAAGTTTGTGTATATAAAACAATGCTTATTTATGTGACCACTTCAGGTGCCAATTTTTGGAGTGATGGATTCTGAATAGATATGAAGAGTTAACTTTTCTTGATTAGATTTACAAAAAGAAACTAGGAGGAAAAACTGAAAAATCATAAAGGGGACCATTAATGATCAAATTTTAAAACATGTTTACAGTGATATTGTAGCTGTGTTGGTCTCAGATTATTAGAGAGACAAGATGTGTCTCTCACCTTATGTCTCTGAACTTTAAAACAGTTAGACTTTCAATATGTTGGATGGCCAAACATAAGTTTGTCAATTGCAAGCTGTAGTCAACAGTGCTCACAACTGTATATTTGTAGATAATCCTAAAAGGACCCAGTGAATTATTCAGTGTTTAGATTTTTTTTGTAAAGTTTGTTTGTAAGCACAGGAATGTTTGGCTAGGCCTTTCATATTTGGTCATCATACAAATGGATCCTGTCCAAGTCTTTATTTTAGAACTAATTTTAGTTTTACTTCTTGTACTTAAAGCTGAATCATTTAAACTTATAATAAAATGGAGTTAAAATTGAGCTTGTATATGTAAAATATGCATCATTTTTGTGTGTAGTCTGCATACTAAAACAACCTTCCTTGGAAATCTTCTCAGATGCCAGCATTCCGTTTGCAGACAGAAGCATCTGCAGTTTATTTTTTAAAATTGTAGGAAACCATAGAATT